TAAATTAGAAAATGATTAAAAATTACAATAATTTAAAAGACAACGTTATTTTTCAAAACTTTTTTTTTTTTGTTGCATTTTTTCGAAAAAAATGTCTATGCAAATTAAAAAATTAAACTCTTTTTCTTTTTAATATAAAATAAACTTGTTCATTTATTAAAAATCAACGGAAGTAATTGTAAAAATGTTTTGCGTAACTTTTATTAAAAGATCAGTTTTCAAATGCAATTAAAAACGTAACAAAAAGGAATTTCTACTTCGAGTTTTTTTAGTTTTATTTTAAAGCTAATTTATTTTTTGTAAGGAATTGTTTCAATTATTCTTTATTTTTTTAATTTTTTTTCCTAGTTTAAGGTTTAGGTTTTCTAAAAACGTTTAAATCATCAAAACAGTCGTGGTCAGTCTGTAAACAAAAAAAATCATTTGCTTGGTCAGCAAAAGCTTTCGATTGCATGTCGTTCCTGTCTAAAATTATTTTGTAGTATTTAATTCCCGTCAGTCAAAATTTCTGACTACTTAGTAAATTGAGTGGACAATCTAAGGTTTTAGCCAGACAATGTCTGACCGTTAAATTGATCCTGATATATATTTGTTTATTTATATATTTAATATGGTATAATTATGGTTATGGTAATATTTTTATAGTGATAATATAAATATTCTTGCCTAAAATGAACAAGTAGTATAAAACTGTTTGTACTGGTGAAATATATTTATACAGTATTAAAATAATGAATCATTAGAATTCACTTGTGAAATGAGTAAATTGACAAAAGTTCTGTATAATTTTTTACTGCATTTTTACAATTTATTGGTTTTTTTATTTCAAGTTTGCTTTCAAGGCTGGTTTTATCAAACTTCAAAAAACAACTTGAAATCTGGTTTTTCAAGAACAAATTTATTTCAAGTTTGTTTCTTGCATTACACTTTAGTCTGACTTGAGATTGAAGTTTAACTAAAAATTTCAAGTTTGCTTCTTGTATTCGGAAAAGATTTTTGCCTTTTCAAGTAGGATTTTCAAATCTAACTTAAAAACCGGTTTTCAAGTTAGACTTGAGTTCAAGTTTGCTCTTTGCATTTGCTTAAGTCAATATTCAGACTTGTAGTATAACTTCAAATTTCAAGTTTGGTTCTTGCATTCCACCCTAAAGTTATGCTTAGAATCAATAAATTTGAAACTTTTCTAACGATTTTATATTATGCAAAACCCTTTAAATAAATTAACAAATAATTTTTGATGAATGTTTTATCAAAATATTTATATAAATTATCAAAGAACATTAAATATATTAAAACTTTTTATTTAAAATGTTTTTATTATTAATAAATTCAATTTATGATAAATGCGATATTTCAAAATAACTTTTAATTAAAAGTTTTTATATTATGCGAACAGATTTTAAAATAGCATTTTACTTCTAATGATTGTAGTAAGTTAGCAAATTACTTCTAACAATTAAAACAAATGCATTTTATTTAAATTATCAAAGAGTCAGAAACAAATCAAGACCTGTTTTGGTACCATTGGAGCGGTATAGATGCTTAAAAAAATGTGTCCAAAAATATTTTTATTTGCTATTTTTCTTTTGCTTTTTTTATTAAAAATCAGAAAAAAGTTTCAGTTTTAGATGCAGTAGTAAAATAACTAATTTATATATATATATATATATATATATATATATATATATATATATATATATATATATATATATATATATATATATATATATATATATATATATATATATATATATATATATATATATATATATATATATATATATATATATATATAATCTAGACAATAACTATTTGAATACAAATGTTTAATAAGCCTAATTACTATTATTTTTATTTTGAAAATACTACACTATTTGTAAATATTGATTAAAAATTATTTAATGTTTAAAATATTTTATAACTACTAAAATTAAAATTACTGAAAATTAGTTCAGATAAATAGTAAATTAGATTAAATATACTTTAAACAATTTTTAGTTTAAGTAAATAATGTTTAATATACTATAACAATTTTCAATAAATATTTAGTATTCAATAAATAGCGTAGTATATTTGTAATTGCTATTTGAATGTTTATTAAAATCATAAATAAAATAGTTTTTCAAAGTGTTACTGCCAAATTTATGTATTTATAGAAATTCGTGTATTTATAGAAATTCATGCATTCATAGAAATTCATGTGTTCATAGAAATGCCTTTTACAACAAGACACTATTTTAAATCAACTCATTCTCTTCAGATAAAACTAAACAAGGTGAACACAAACAAATCATTATTTAAAAATGTAAATCATTATTTAAAAATATTTATTAAATTACAAATCATTATTTAAAAATATTTTAATTGTAGCGGTACCAGTTTTAACTGGGAAGGAGGAGAAGGGGAAAAGCTACTTAAAGAACATTCTCTCTTCTTCTCCCCACCCCATGTCACTGAAAAAAAAACGATGTCCCTAAATAAACCTGGGTTTGTTGCAGAGATTATTATAATTAATTATATATTAGATAGATCTGGTGAGGTTAAGGCTATCACTCTTAACATTAATTTAGTTAATTTGATAAAGTTTGGGATGTTGGTTTTCGCTAATAATGTTATACGCTCTTTTCTTACCAGTTAACATTTTTCTTACGGTGTATCAGTTAACATTTTTCTTATGGTGAATCAGGTAACATTTTTAAGATTAATGGACAGCACTCTTCATTTCTTGTAACTTAAAGAATTCCTCAAGGTTCTTACCTTCACTTTTTTTAAATTATATTAATTAAATTAAATTTATATCTCCCAGAAATTTTGAAGTGAAAACTCAGATGAAATTCGTTTTTCTTCAGCTAATCAATATCGCAACAGTCTAGATCTTCTTATATTTTCAAAAGTTAATGTACTCGATGAGTCTTTTACCCTTCATCTTCTAGGATTGACTTCTTCTGATTATTCTAAGAAACCAACTATAAAATTAGCAAAATTAGCAATAGCTAATCTTTTTATCTTGCCAATTTCTAACTCAGGATTTTATTATTTTTCTCTATAAATTGCTAATCCATCCTTTTATGGAATACTGTTGCTATATCTGAGGTGGATCATCTAATGATGCCCTTTCTCTTTTAGACAAGGTGTAAAAATGCGTTGTAAACATAGTTGGACCTGCTCTAGCAGCCAACCTTCAATCATTGTCACGTTGACGTAATGTTGCTTCTCTTTCTCTTTTCTATAAATACTATAATGGGAACTGCTTTAAAGAGCTAGTATCTCTTATGTCATCTACTAAAATTCATTCTCATGTTACTTGTCATTCAATTAAGACTCATCCTTTTAGTGTGACTGTTCTTAAGTGCTCCAAAAACTCCTCTTATAGTTTTTTTCCTTGAACATCAGTTCTTTAAAATTTGCACTCTTCATCTTGTTTTCCTGATTCATATAATTTGCAATCTTCAAAATTGTCTGTCAATTGTTGTCTTGATCTATAAACTTCATCTTTTCTTTTCCTGTAACTTTCAACTAATAGTGGTTGCTTGCAGTTTTTTATAGCGATTTATATTATGCGAAGCGGTTTTAAATGATTTTAAACTTTTTTAATTTTAGTTTTTTCAAGTTAATTTATTAAGTTATAAAACTTAATAAATTAACTTGAAAAAACTAAAACTAAAAAATTAACTAAAAGTTAATTTTCTCTTTCTTTGGGCCAGTCTAGTGAAAATGTTTTTAGATGCATAGCTTGGTATGATGGTGGTAGGTTAGCTTTCAATAGTGATTTTTATAGTGGCTTGGAAAACAAAATGTGTAGTGTTGCACAGAAAAAAAATGTGTGTGTGCAACTATGGTAATGTTGTGCAATTATAATTCACTTGTGAAATGAGTAAATTGACAAAAGTTCTATATAATTGTTCATTTGAAAAACTTTGAATTATTAAATTTGTTAATTTAAATATTAAAATAAACATCCTATATATTAAGTATGATGTCATGATTGATAATATCATACTGGAATAAGAATTGGGAAAAATGAGACTTACATTGACTCGTTAATTAAAGTGCTGGCAGCAAGGGCTTTCCTTTTTGATTTATCACAATTTAAAGTACAAACAAAAGTTATTTTAAGTTATGATAACACATCATGTTAACCTAAATGCACACAAACAAATACCTAAAAAAACACACACAAACAAACACCTAAAAGTTATGATAACATGTTGTGTTAAACTATTGTTAGATAAATTAAGTTGTCAAATCTAGATTGATTTAAATTATCAATTAAAAGTCCTGACATTATTATTATCATGTATATCATTTATTATCATGTATCAAAAAAAATTTTTTTTGTAGTATAAACCTAAATTAAGCTATATCACCATACACATCTGAAATATTATAATGCACTGAAGGAGTAGTCTTAATTAGTATATTTAAAACGATCCAAATAAAATATCATACTTGAAAATTCAGCACCAGATTTTATCAAACACTTTTGAGAGTAATGTAAGTCTACAATATATTTGTATATTGAAAAATTCTTTAAAAATTATGCAAGTATAGATAAGTTATCAGAAATATTCTTGTCCCAAAATAACCTGTGACACCATTATCTATTGCTTTTAACAACAAAAGAATAATGGTCTAATTTTACTAAGGGTAATACAATTAAGAAAAGTCAAAGCATGTAGAACTAGTGAAAGAAATTTCTTTTAAAGGCCCTGTACCAACAACTTTCAAAATACCCTACACCAATAACTTTAGTACTTGTTTAGTTATTTTAGTTACCATTTTAAATATTAGCAAACTAAAGGACATTTTTTTTGGGAACCAAACCAGACTTTTCTTTGCCTTAAAGAAACAAAACTTACTTTCAAAGAATATTTGTGAATCATTGTACTAAATGTAATTTTGTAGGAAATACATTTTATTACAACATTTATTATTAAATTTATAATTTAATAAAAATTGCTTAAAAGAAAGATTTTATTTCATTAATAATAATTCTTCAGGTTATCATTTGCTTGCAAACCAGCACATCTACTGTTTAAAACCATTGAAGAAATGCCATAGTACAGTTTATCATTATCTTTTCCATCTGTTTCCAAGAACCATTCAAGTGATTTTATTTTAACATTGCAGTATTAGGGATTTGTTGAAGTGTGTCCTTCACAATTTGAGGATCTTATTTTTAATTTAAGGTAAATTTCCCATTAGTGATAAAAATACTTTTGCAAAGTAAAAAAATAAATTATTTAAAGATTTAAATTTTTTTCATGTTTGTTCTCAAAGATAATAATCACCTAATTTTTAACTCCAATAAAAAATACTTAAAATACCATACTATTACTTATTAATCAGTAAATATTAATAATTGTAAAAAAGATAAAAGTTAATTAAACAACATTGATGGAGCATAGAGTATGAATTGTAAACAGTTGATTATGAGGTCTACTCAGGTGCGCTCAGCCTGTTTCTCCACACAGTGACTTTGTTTAACAAGATGTTTAGAGTTCAGGGTTGAGACATGCAAAAAAAGAGGTTTGCAAAAAAAAAAAAAATCTTGAGTAGACTCCTAGACTGCAGTGGCCCCTTAGAGGTGGAGCTTTGGAAGAAGTGAATTTAATAATATATATATATAAATCAGTCATTATTAAAAATTGTTTTTAAAAGAAAAGCATTTGATTAATCTAACCTTGATTGATTAGTTTTTAATTTTCAATACAGTAATAATACAATTGTATATATAATACAATTTGATGTTAATTTTTCTAGTGTTGTTATTGCAAGAAAAATATTTCTGAGACGCAAAACAGGTGTAAAAAATTATTATAACTCTTCTGTAATGATGTCACAATTCCTCACATAAAAGTTAATTTCTAATGCTCTCAAAACTTTATTTATCTAAATTGTTGTTCTTTTGAGTTCCGTAATAGGAATGTTATAAAGGAAAGTATTTTATTCTTGCATTAGATGTAAAAAAATTAGTTGGTTTTTCTATGAAATTTGAAGATAAAGTGTTTAGCTAAAAGTTTTTAAAGCCTTCGGTTAAAAATGTGAATTTATGGGGTATATCTGGTTTGAAACAGCTTCAGTAATGACAGAATTAGGCATTTAAATTGTCTTTTTTTTTATTATTGTTATTATTATTTGTTAATATTATTTTTATTTTATTTTAATAATATCTGATTTTTTGTTTTCTAGCAATAGTGGCTCATTCTTTTGTCTTTATAGTCAAGTTTTTTTAATATTAATTCACTTCTTTTCATTCACCCTCTTATACTACTGCAGTTCCAAAGTATCAACCATGATTGTAGACTAGATGGTTTTATCAAAAAACAAGTTGAGATATTTTCTCGCTCTTTGGTAAAAGTACAGAATCGCTTAATTATTAAATTTAACAATTGGTATAAATTGCCTAGATTAATTTAGTTAGGCTAAACTCAATTAAAATTTCAAAAACAATACTTTTTGACGTCCTTTTAAAATTAAAAACATCCTTTTGATAGAAAGATTTTTTATTTTTAAATATAAATTGCCTAGATTAATTTAGTTAGGCTAAAATCAATTAAAATTTCAAAAACAACACTTTTTGACGTCCTTTTAAAATTAAAAACATCCTTTTGATAGAAAGATTTTTTATTTTTAATAAGTGGTATTACTATAGCGTAATGCAGAAGCGGAAGTAGTAGTGTCGTGACAAATTTTATTTTTTTTAATAAAATTCTCAAAAATCTTACAAGGACATTTGTTGGATGCCTTTTGTTTTAAAAATTTTTTTACATTATTTTACGTTATTTAATAATGCTGTATAATATTGATTTAGCATTGAAAAGTGCCACAAAATCTCCTCACCAGTTTTGGTAATTCACGGCACAGAAGATGAAGTTATAGATTTTTCTCATGGATTGGCAATTTATGAAAAATCTCCTAAAGCAGTCGAACCTTTGTGGGTAGAAGGTGCCGGTCACAATGATGTTGAGCTGTATGGTCAATACTTAGAAAGATTAAAACAATTTGTTCAGTATGATCTTGTTAAAGAATGATATATATTTTTTTCTGTTTTACGGACTTCGCGATTTTTTTTTTTTTAATTTGATCATATTTGCCTCATCAACATAAATATTCTTTTATTCCTGACAATTTCTCAGTGTGTTTGCGTGTGTGTGTATATATATATATATATATATATATATATATATATATATATATATATATATATATATATATATATATATTATAGGCCCGTAGCAACCAGGTGGGAGCAGGGGCATTCACCCCCTCCCCAATAATTTTTGAAAATAGATAATTTTGTAAAAATTGACTGAAAAAATGAATTATAAAAAAAGGTCCTTAAAAGTATTTCGGGGCAGTACTGCTCCCCCCCCCCCCCAATATAATTTTTGTTCCTACGGCCCTGTATGTTCATATATATATATATATATATATATATATATATATATATATATATATATATATATATATATATATATATATATATATATATATATATATATATATATATATATATATATATATATATATATATATATATATCGTTAGTTTTCATTTTAATAGTTGATAATCATAAACTTATTAATTTTTTTATTAACCAATCAACTTTGAAACTATATATAAGAATATTATTGCTTAACATTTTTTTCTTACACTTTTTTAAAGTCTATTTTAAAATAAAGTATGCATAAAAGTTATTGACAAGTCACTACAAGACTTGAAATTTAAATTGGTTTAAATAAAATTATATTGGCAGTGTTTATTGGAATTATATTCATACACTTTTCATTCATATCAATAGTATTTTTGATGTACATATCTATTATCTGTTTTTAGTTCCTTTATGCTTTTTAAGTAAAAAAGCTAGAAATTTTCAGTCTTTTCTACAGAAGTTTATTTATTTGTTTTGTTATTATGTAAACTTCTAATTTAACTTATATTCAATAATTTTGTTTTTTATTTGCCGAGGGTGCTTGACGCTTGTTTCTTAAAAGAGCTCCACTCTCTTTACAACTTTTATCGCCAAAATAAAATCCAAATCCCATTTAAATTTCTGTAAGTTTTTTTTTTTAAATCTTCGTTTCCAACAAGGCTGCAAGCAAACACTAATTATTGTTGGAAGTTATTAAAGTTTGTTATAATACGAATGATCTCACCATGGCAACAAATTCTGTAGTTGTGTAATGGTTAAGGCTTTGCAACCCAGTATGAACGAGACGTTTTTTAGATGTTTAACCAATAAATACGTTTTAGTACGTTTATATTATACGACTAAAACACGTCTTTTGCCCATTAGGAAAACTAAGTTTCATCACGGTTAATACACGGTTTTCAACAAAAACCAAAAGTTGTAACTAGTAAATTATCGTAATTCGGTTTCGGTCGAAATTTTAATTTGAACTGATACCGAAATTTGCTTTTTATAAATTCAGTAAAAAGCAAAGTTTCGGTTGAAAAACGCACCAAAAAATTTGTAAGATTCTAAATTTTTAGCCTATCTAAAAAAAATAGTTTTTTTAAGAATTTTCGCAAAATATTTTTAGAATATTCACTAAAGTTTTAAGAATTTTCTTATAATACCTTGTTTTGGAGAGAAAATCAAAACCAGCTGTTAACTTTCGCTATTAACTTATATCGCCAACTTATGTTGGCTATATAATTTATAGATGATATTTAATCTCAATTTATGAAACACGTGTAATTAATTCTAACATTGAACACGTATTGAAAAACAGGAAATGTAAAATTGCATTTTTTATAATTTTTCTAATGAAATTAATTTTGATTAGCCGAAATGTCAGTTACGGTAAAATATTTGCCAAAATGTCGGTTTCGGCACCGAACTAGAGTACCTGAAAATTTGGTTAATTTCAGTTTCGGTCGATCACTATTTGTAACCCAAAAAATTTCGAGTCAACAAACATTAAAAATAATACATTTTATAAAGTTATTTTCAGAATAGAAGATAAGTTTTTAATCTGAAAATGTTTAAGATTGAATTTTTTTTCAATTTTAACTTTTATTATTCTTGCTTTAATTTTAATAAGTTGTTGGTTGGTGCAATGACATCGTCATTGTGTCGTTATAAATTGTTTAAATGGAAGTTATAGACTTATGAAATATACACAGAAAATAAATCTAAAAATAAGGAAATTGAATATATATTTACCAACTATATAATAATCTCCTTTCCATCGTAAAATCTGGATCTTGAACAGCTTAAAAACTCCTGGAACAACTGATTTTTTCTGACCAATGCACGAGTTTGCTCCAATCATTTTAAAGATAAAGAGTCTAAATGTAATACTTGTTCAATGGTGATAAAAATCTGTAAACAACTATATTTTAGAGTGAAGAACTCAAAACGGATGGCTAAAAGACCACAATATGAAAATTTAATTTCAAAATGGTGCTACTTTTTTTTTGAGTTTTTTGACGCCCCGTACAAAAAGAAGTACATCTTGAGATGCCAAAAAGATATGATTCTAAAGTTTTTTCTTTGATATAAGCTCCAACATAAAAAAAAACCACATGGATTTTCTTTTATATCTGATTTATTCACATCAAAAGTTTAATAAAATTTAACTCAAAAAATACAGTAAGTTACAAAAACAAACAATGAACATTAGGTATATGATAAATTTTAAATCAATTAGCCTGGGGTTTTAAATAATGAACTTTTGACTATAAATCACAGAAAAGACATTGATTTTACCATACCTTGAAAAAACTTCCCGCAACTAAGACAGTTTCATATTTAACCATACATTACATAGCAGCCCAAAGACTATTAATTATAATATGTCAACTTTATATACAATACACATGAGAAATACACTGTCCTACAGCATTTGTAGTGATGTTAATAATCTTTCAGATTTGTATATTAGTATTAATAAATTTACAGTTAAGATATTTGTTTGTTCTGCAAGAAGAACGAATGTCCCCCATCAACTTTACAGCTCTCTCGGCTACTATGTTGGTTCGAGGCACATCAAGCACTGATGGTTCCTTTTTCCAGTGGGTAGAGAAGCATTTCACAGCTTTGGAACATTTAAGTTGGATATTGCTGACAGCAGGTCTTCATAAGCCGCCTCTGCATAGTGCTGAATTGAAAACCAGGCCCACGACCATGTAGCTGCAACGAAATCGCAAGTTATCCTCAACTGTTCTCTCCAGTTTGAAAGAATGAAAAATGCAATAAGCGCAAAAATGCCACTTGAGTTCCACCTGGCACTGCGCAGTGATGGCAGCTTGTGCCATTTGATACGAGGCCATTTTTCCTCATTTTTATTAAACTTGTATGCTTCACAAAGCTGAAAAAGAAATTTAAAGTCATCTGTCCAGCCAAGGTTCTCATACTCTGCTACCACTGCTGTGCCCTTGTAGGCATTTTTTAAATCATCGTAATGCTTCATAATCTCATCAATAAATTTGTAGTTAATGTTAGGCGACTGTGACTGTATAGGAAAAAAGAAATCCAACACATGTCATAGAACAAGATCAAGAATGTGGTGTTGGCAGCCGATGTATTGAGGTTCATCGAATCCCTTGTCTCGAAGTATTTTCTGAAGCTTGGCTACAACTCCATTCTTGCGACCAGTATTTACAGCTGTTGTGTCAGAGATGATCATCTGAATACTGTTCCATGCATTGTAATCATCAAGTAGGTCCTGTAGTGGTTTATATATGCTTGCAGATGATCCACTGTCATAAACCAAAATGCTAAGTTGTAATGTTCTTTTGTCATTTTCAAGCACACAACTTGGTACTCAATCTTGTCAATTTTCTTACCATCAAAATGCAAAGAAAATTTTTCTTCAGAGATCAGTTCCATGAGGCGGTTTTTAACTTGTTCTGCATCTCTGATTGTTTGACGCCAGACTGTGATGGTGTTGGGACACAAACTCCATCTTCAGCCAGACTTTGAAGCACCCGTAACGTTTTTCTGGTTGACAAAGAGTGACTAGACACTAGTTTGGCAGCAGACTTAGTTGACTGGCGTGTTGCACGCTTTCTGCAAGATTCTCCTGGATCTGCCTCCGAGTCACCACTGCTGCTTCCTTCCTCAGAATCCTCACTACCGCAGGAAAGTAGTACAGAGATCCTCTAACAAAGGTGGTACGGAGAACCCTCAACAAACCGCTTGGTTTGTCAAGGGTTCTGATGTGCTTTTGGCCCTTTTCGATGGATGGATTGTTGACATAGGAGCCACTTTCATAGTTGAATATCACACCCTGTTATCTGATTCAATTTGTACTTTGTACAGTTGTTTGTCCTCACTACAAAGCCAATTTCCATCTGGTTTTGTTATATCGAACAGATAAGTAAGATTTTCTTCAAATACTGCATTTGGTCGCTTTCTGTGTTTCTCAAATGATGTGATAAGGTTGTAAACATTAGGAGACACTTGTTGTTTGGAAAGAACAGGAAAATTAAACTTCTGCCAAAGATTCATCAATTCCTCGGATATTTTTGTTAGTCGATCATGTCGTCCTTTCAATTCATTAAAGAGTCCCAAGAATCTTCCAACGATATTTCTGTTGAAAGGCATTTTACACAATTTGTCGCTCATATCCTGTTTTACCTGTAGTATATTAGGACGGCGCTTCGTGCTTGATTTCAAATTTTGTTTCCATATTTCATCAGCTGCTTCCACTGCTGATTTTGACATTTTACTTTTAAAGGACATATTTTTAAAAAGAAGCACTAAACAGCAGATCTTGCAAATTAATACTGCAAATAATGAAAAAACTTTTTAAAACTTCTACTCAATATTTTAATCGCGCGAACATTAAAAAATACTCAACAACAAACAACAACAAACGCGCATTAATTCGAAAAACAGTTGTTAAAATTTGTTATTCAAAATTGAGTTACATAATATTAAACAATTTAAAACTATCGAACTTTTTCATTCTATGTTAATTAACTTTTTAAACAGTTTGACGCTCTTTAACTTGTAGTTATATTCAAGTATATTCAAGCATAGCCAAACATAAGGAAGTAAGAACTGGGAACAAAATCAAGTGAAAAATCGAAAAAGTTAAAA